TTGTTCCACTAGATGGCGCTCTGCTATCTAGAAATTCTCATGTGAGCCTGGTCAAGATATGCCATTTTTTATTTTTTATAGCTATTTATATGTTTTCATTTAATGATTTGAGATATTATAATGATAAGATATAATTATAAATGATTTATTTTCCTTTTTTTAAGCGTGTTTAATTTACGAAGCATCATTCAATATACTACAACGAATTATATATGTAAAATCAGTATATGTTTTTGTTCCAAAATCATTTTATTAGGTACCATTCAAAAGAGCAACCTAGTTTATGATAATTGCGCAACAATGAATAATATGTGATGGTTATTCACATATTGAACAAAATGTTAACGTGGGATTCAATCCCGGTCCATGGCGGTCGGGAATCGAGGGTGTTACCCACTCGTCCACCGACTCTTTGTTTTTTTTTAAATAAGTATATAATATTTATTTCTATCCCAATAAATGCTATAAGCACAGAACGGTATGTTGGTTTGTTTTTTTCAGCGTCTTTTTCAATCCACTACTGAATGATGGTTTCTATTCTCTTCTATCTGTCCTTTGTCCTTTTCCTACCATTTTTATTTCTATATGACAAATCTATGGTACAGAGTAATTAGTCATTTACATATCTCCAACTCTACAGTTATGCAAATCTCTACCAGGATATATTCACATCACTACGAACTTACTTACATAGCTATAGATCTATCTACATATCTCCAACTCTACAGTAATGCAAATCTCTACCAGGATATATTCACATCACTACGAACTTACTTACATAGCTATAGATCTATCTACATATCTCAAACCCTACAGTTATGCAAATCTCTACCAGGATATATTCACATCACTACGAACTTACTTACATAGCTATAGATCTATCTACATATCTCCAACTCTACAGTTATGCAAATCTCTACCAGGATATACTCACATCACTACGAACTTACTTACATAGCTATAGATCTATCTACATATCTCCAACTCTACAGTAATGCAAATCTCTACCAGGATATATTCACATCACTACGAACTTACTTACATAGCTATAGATCTATCTACATATCTCAAACCCTACAGTTATGCAAATCTCTACCAGGATATATTCACATCACTACGAACTTACTTACATAGCTATAGATCTATCTACATATCTCCAACTCTACAGTTATGCAAATCTCTACCAGGATATACTCACACCACTACGAATTTACTTACATAGCTACGAACTAACCTTAAGATTATATAAGTGTAGAGAGAATTATCAATAGCAAGATACTTTGTCCCATATTGATTTGAAGGCAATTTTGATGCAAATATTTCCTTGATGCCTGCTTAGGCGTCGTTAATTGAAGACACATTTTGCTATAGGTAGAGCTGACTGCTTCAGGGCGCATCCCCAGGTGGTGGATAGGGGAATGACTTTCAGATATGAAGGCCAGCTGTGAAACAAGCAGAATAACTCTGACAAATAAGCAGTCGCGGACCAACAACAGTATTGTTAGAAGAGGAGTAGACCTCATTAAAAATCCTGACTTCAACTGACCCGGTTGATAGACCTCAGCAAGGGTCCCACTCCAGGGATACGGAGGAGCTGCGTCTGTACTCATGTTAGAGTCGGCAGCAAAGGCTTCCATGTTAGGAACGGCCTCAAACTACAGGCAAAGTCAGACTTTCACCAAAGTGTGCCTGGAACATGGTGCCATGACCAATGAAAGCTGTATTCCTACACCCCATTTCATTGGAATTCGTGTAATCTTTACATAAGGGGATAAGAAACAACAACAACATTTTGATATTCTTTATTTTAAAAATAGTTTAGTCGATGTGTGTGTTTAGCATTTATCATTGTAATTTGCAATAAAATAATGCAACATCAAGCTTCATACCTCTCCTATGTAAGAAGGAACAACCTACATCTCTAGGCTTGCGATAAAGAGGTGTTGGAGATATATGCAATAGAAAGACGTCGAAATGACTAATGACATATGCAAATCAGTTTCGTGTCTTTGTTTCTCAACCCTCAGTACTGAGGCTGAGGAAAGTGACAAACATTCCTTGGACAATTGCCATCTTGCGACACTGCAAACGCCTGGCAACACGGATACAGTAATTATCAGATAATTCAGAATCCTGTCTTTAGCATTGATAAGCAGACATATCCATCGTAAGATAGGTTCCTAGATACTGTAATCCTATTTCTGGAATATTGGATGGACAACAGAGCGAGCGATCGGTAAATTGTAACTTGTGAAGAAATGTCTAGTCTGTGATGTAAAACCAAAACACCTCAGTTAAAAAAACCAGGGAATCTTATAAACGTCCATATATCATTAAAAAAACTCAGGTAATATTATCAACGTATAGCTATCATCCATATGTATTTACACCCACAATATACAAAAACCAGGACATATAAATAAATACAATATGCAAACTCAGGTAATATTATCAACGTATAGCTATCATTCATATTATATGCAACTACAATAAAACAACCAGAAAATCTTATAAACGTACAGCTACCATTCAGATGTATATACAATTACAATCAACAAACCATAAAACCTTATGAACATACAGCTATCATTTATATGTATATACAACCACAATATACAAACCATAAAATATATTGTATGTAAATACGACTACAAAAAAAACTAATCAGAAAATCTTATGAACATACAGTTATCTAATTACAAAACTATTTTAGAGGCGTAATATTCTTTTTAAAATAAAACAATTTCTACTTTAGTGCATCGTAACATACAGTTATCTCTTATTCATATACACTGCGTGACATTGAAAATGGAACACCAAGAAATAGTGGCCAGAAAGTGATTAAACTCGGCAGACAGAGAGAGACAGGGACAAACAATAAGTGATCTTTATTTCAAAATGATAGTCATAATACAGAGTGAGAACGGCGTCGGCTTAGTAGCAAGTAGGACCACCGCGGACGGCGATGCACGCAGCAACACGTCTAGGTAGAGAGTCAATCAGAGTACGGATGGCGTCCTGAGGGATGGCTCTCCATTCCCTCTCAACCATTTGCCACAGTTCGTCTTCTGAACGCGGCTGTGGCAAGGCATGCAAACGGCGTCCAATGATGTCCCAGACGTGCTCGATTGGTGAGAGATCAGGAGAGTACGGTGGCCAGGGAAGCATCTGTACATCTTGCAGAGCTTGTTGGGTAATGCGAGCAGTGTGCGGTCGGGCGTTATCCTGCTGATAAAGGGCATTGGGTACCCCCTGAAGGTAGGGGAGTGTCACCGGTCGCAGCACATCATCAACGTATCGTTGGGCCGTCATAGTGCCCTGAATACGAAGTAAAGGTGACCTGGAATCATACGCGATTGCGCCCCAAACCATGATTCCACGTTGTCGCACGGTGGGGCGTTCCACATTTGCTGCCGGATTGGAACTTTCTCCACGTCGACGCCACACGCGTACACGGCGACTATCACTGGACAAGCAGAAACGCAACTCATCTGAGAACACGACCCTGTTCCATTCCGTCATCCACGTCGATCTAGCCCGGCACCATTCCAAACGTTGGCGCCTAATCGGTGGGGTCAATGGCAGTCTTCTTAGCGGACGGCATGAGTACAAGCCATTAGCAACCAATCGACGGGAAATGGTTCTGGTCGAGATGGAATGATCTAGGGTGTCTTGCACATGTTGCAGGATGGCGGTACAAGTGGCTTGGGGGGCCGCAACTGCTTGTCGAAGGATACGCCGATCCACACGTGCTGACGTCACTCTGGTTGCACCGACATTCCTATAAATTGCCACATTTCCTTGTTCCAACCATCTTCTCCACAGTCGGTGCACCGTGGACGCACCAAGGTGTGTATCAGCTGCGATTTGACGTATGGACCAACCTGCCCTTTTCAGTCCGATCACCATGCCCTTCGTAAAAGCGTCTGTCTGCTTGAACTGCCTCCGTTTACGATGACCTAGCATTCTCTGTTATTACACGTGTCTTTTGACACAAGAACAAAATTTCTACAATGATTTTCCTTGGAGAAATAACGACACGAATACTGTCCTTTCTGCAAGTTCCTTCCCTTATATCTTACTCCATGTGCGCACGAGAGCTGCGCATTTTACATCATTTGCATAACTCGGTTAGGCGCGTCTACCCTGAAATTTGCATAATTTTCTGGCCACTATTTCTTGGTGTTCCATTTTCAATGTCACGCAGTGTATATATATATATATATGTCGTAGCTGCCGTGGTCAAATGAAAGGGCGCAAGCGTTGTACATGTACGCGTCAAAAAAGAACTTGTTCGACACTCGTGAGCACGCGGCGGAGGCGTGGCCTTCCCCAGCGCGCGCTGGCTCCTAGATTTATTTTGTACAGATTTACACATGGATGAATTTGTACCTACATTTTAAAATATAATTATGGCAAAAATAAACCATATCTCTTAAGCATTAATTATACAAATTATGACATATATATATATGATCGCAATAAACAAACAAGGAAATCTTATGAGGGAACAGTGATCATCATATGCATATAAAAACACAATAAAGCAACCAGAAAACTTTATCAACGTAAGCTATCATTCATATGTATATAAAATCACAATAAACAAACCAGAGGTTTGGCCACTGAGAATTCGCAAAGGTTGTCAAAATATGGAAAATAGATTTTAAACTTTGTGAATTATTTTTTTTTAAAGTTAAACCTTCTGAAAATTTTTCCTTCCATACATATGTGAACGCAAAAAAACTAACCAGGAAATCTTATAAGGAAGCAGTGATTATCATATTTATATACAACCACAATAAACAAACCAGAAAACCTTATGAACATGCAGCTATCTCTCATATATATATACTAGCCGAATGACCCGGGCAACGCCCGGGTTTTACCCAATTAAATGCTTTTATTCAAATACTATTCGTTACAATTATAAATTGGCGCCGTGAATGTCATTCTTGTATAATATATAAATGATTTTAAAAATGTAAAAAAAAAAAAAATGCTTCGGCCGGGAATCGAACCGGCCCGCGTGGCAGGCGAGCATTTTACCACTGAACTACCGATGTTTATGAGAAATGGCCATATTTGGGTATTTATTCCATTCACAAAAGCAAACGGTGACAGAATTGATTGATGACTCTGATACTTGTATATTTTAATGATCGCAATAAACTAACCAGGAAATCGTATAAGGAAACAATGATCATCATGAACTTCTCCATCAAGCAAATGTATATACAATCAGAGTAAGCTAACTAGAGGATAAGTCTTTTAACTCTGTCAATTTGCCAGCGAGGCTGGAACGTTCAACACAACAGAGCTACTTCCCAATACACACAATTGCCTTACCCTATCTTCCAATTTCTCGAACCTTCCATGCCTTTTTCTAAACATTTTCCCCACTTCCAATATAAGGATAGGAAACATATAATGAATATATTACACGTCAGTATTGAACATATATAGATATGATTGTTCTCTGAATAGTCATGGTTATCATTAGGATAAAAAATGTAGTTAAATGTATTTTTTATTACCAAGTAGCCATACAATTTTAAATCTGAGGGAAAAAACTGAATATATGATATAAAATTAAGTTGTTGTTTTTTTTTGCGTATCCCTAGTACACATGGTATAGGCCATTATAAACACGGTGGATAGAAGTAGGCGACTGTTTTTATTGTAAGTGCACCACATGTCTACACATGGTACAGGCCATGTTAATCATGGTGGGTAGAATTAGGCGACTGCTTTTACTGTAAGTGCACCACATGTCTACACATGGTATAGGCCATTATAAACACGGTGGATAGAAGTAGGCGACTGCTTTTATTGTAAGTGCACCACAGGTCTACACATGGTACAGGCCATGTTAATCATGGTGGGTAGAATTAGGCGACTGCTTTTACTGTAAGTGCACCACATGTCTACACATGGTACAGGTCATGTTAATCATGGTGGGTAGAATTAGGCGACTGCTTTTATTGTAAGTTCTAAACATATCTACACATGTGAAAAGCAGTGATAAAATTTAGTTATAGAATTAGAAATTAGGTGATAAATTTGTCTGTGATATTTTAGACATATAAAATGTTTTAAAACAATCGAAATATACAGTCATAACATTTGCCCGTAAAATACTTGTTTCGCTAATTCGTAGTAGTGAACAAGTTGTAACTTAATAAAATCAATTTCAAAGTCAACCATGACTTACAAGGATTGAGACTATGGCTTCAGATGTACTTTAAGAAGCCCCCAAAGCTAGTGTATGGCCACTGAGAATTCGCAAAGGCTGTCAACATATGGTACATAGATTTGAGAGCTTTGTGAGTTCTTTTTAGATAAACCTCCTGGAAAATATTCCAACCATTTTGGAATTACAAGTTCAATCTATTTTTAGCACGTCTGGTATCCAGGATGATTTTATCTCCAAACACTTATATAAGCCGGGGCCTTGAGGCAGTAGTTATCCTGCAAAGTTACACAATGTTTTAGCTATGTAAATTGGTGGTATGTAAATAATACGGGAAAATGTAGAGATTTGAACGATACAATTTTATACCTTTGTATTTTTTTTGCTTATCCCTAGTACACGTGGAACAGGCCATGATAATCATGGTGGATAGAAGTAGGCGACTGCTTTTACTGTAAGTGCACCAAATGTCTACACATATCAAAAGCAGTTCGACTTTGCACTTACAAATGTGCCGGAGCCATGTTTGATTACTTGCACTCGCTGGTGGGGTTGGACTTTTGCAAGAATCGGTGAACATTGGACCATTTTTTTTTTTTTAATCAGAAAAAAGTGTCCAATGCGGGAATCGAACTCGGGTCGTAGCGGTCGAAAACCAACGGTTTAGACCATCCTTCCACCGACCCTCTACAGATATAATAGTAGAAACTGCTTTAGAAACTAAAATGCAAATATACCAAAATGTATAGGAAGAATAGAAAAAGGCCTCAATTCATAGATTTTCATTCAAAATGAATAACTCTGTATTGTTCTAAAAAAAATCCAAGCTTTAAGAAATACTCGGGAAGACTCGAACGCGGAAAAGTCCAAACATTCCGAAACAAAGTCCATTGCAATATGCAAATTTCATGGATGAGAGGTCAGTAGTTTCTACAGTATAACTGATTCTTAAGCTGTTAGGAACATATCATAAATCCTAATGGCTTACGATTTGAAATTTTTAGGTGAATCATATAATTCCAAAGCAGAAGAGTCTCAACTACAAGTAAATTTAGCGTTAGGAAACGCAAAAGAATTCCACAATTCCACAAAAGAATTAACTGTTGATAACTGAGTTGCAACAAGTATTTGTACATATAGACTTATGTTTTGAGGTTGTTAACAGATCAAAATATCGTTTTAAAAATAGAGAAATCCATAAATAAACTTCAATTAAAAAGCCATATATTTGGATCAAAATATTATTTATTTTACCAATATTCCAGTTGGCTGAATTCCAACATTTTTAAAATAAGAATAATTTATAACGCTTTGCCAAATTTTTGTTCGCTCCTAACGATGAGAAAAGATTTTTGTCGAAACATCGAGACAATAAAAAAAGATTTATTGGCCGAAGTATCTTTATAGAACGACATTTGACAATTATCCGCATGGGTTTCTTTTGAACGAAAAATCGAAATTTATTTTAAGGAGAAATAACGATTATTTCTAAACTTAGGGATGAAGTATGAAAGGATGAATTGTGAAGAGTAATTATAAACGGAAAAATAAAGTGTCCAGGGATGGGAATCGAATTTGAAGAACTATTAATTCCAATCAGGCAGCCCCTATCTTAACGATACCATCTTCAAGTTCAGTAGTTATTAAAATGATGAGAAGATCTGTTGGTGAAATATTCAGCCATCGTCCGCGAGTCCTAACCTTGTCAACCCATCTTTGTGTCGCCTGGGAACTTTGTCACATTGGGGACAAGGCTAATAAGGTTATTACAGGTCCCTCATCAAGACAAAATAATGTTTTAATTAGAGAGATAATTAATCCTAAATTAGAGCAAATTGAGGATGTTCGCACTTTTTAATAACGGCCGTCACGCACTTTCGTCCTTATATCTCTTTATTAGACCTTCCGCCATCTTGTATGTGTAACATCTTGGGGTGTGACTTCCCCGTTAACCTAACACCTTGGAATGGCAAACATCTAGCGAAATTTTCTATCAATTAATTCTTTCAAATCTTTAAACTTCATGGAATTTTAACTTCTTTGACGTTAATTTGTATTCATTGTGGAACCACTTTCTATAATTACGAGGCGAAAAACGGACGCTATTTCGGCAGCTCAATCTACTGGGCAACTACAACAT